GGTGGGTCAATTGCCCCATTGATAAACATGGCGAACCCAGGCAATACACCACCGTTGTTAACACTGGTTTGAGCAGAAAAACGACCCTCCTTGTCGAGCACGACTGGTGTCGATGAGTTATAGTCGAATAGTCTCACGAGCACCGCTGAATTCACCTTGGGTGGGAATGAAAACCGAAAAATTGCAGCATGTTCCGTCGGGGTCATTTCAATCCTAGCGCCACCCATATCAGCGTTACCAGGATACAGAGCCGATGACTTGAAGTAGTGTGGCTTGTAAGTAGTCTGCAGCGGAGCGAACGACACAGATTGCTGTGGTTCGTCATGGGATATGATAGCATTAACGAGAAAATAACCATAGTCGCCCAACCATACGGACGGTTGGTGAGTGCATCGAACACCATAGAAGCTTCTCGAGGCCGGGTCGAAGTAGCGTTTAGGAGCATGGTCGGGTTCGGTTTGAACAGACCAATGATTGAAGCCGAATGGTCGGCCCATGAGGGGCGTGGCGCTACCAGTAGACAACTCATAAGTATTAGAAGTACCAGCTAGAACGTTAACATAATCGACGAGGCTAGCAGCAGCTTGAACGATACCGAGCATTACTATGAAGGCAAGGACGACGTCCAACAAGTTGTTCATAATAACAACAAATAAATAAGACTGACAAGAAAACCAACTCTGTGGTTAGTCGGTGTAGTAGCGACACGGCTTCCTCCCCTGCAGACTCTTCATTGGAAGCTATCGTCGACGGACTCGCGTGTAACCCAACATCGGACTAGGACTCGAATCCATATCGGAGTAATAGCGATGGAATAGACCGAAGATTAAGAACCAAATAAGAGCCCCTGAAGTACGTAAGATACTCGAACTGTAATGGGCTGCAAAATACGGACTTCCTACTGATGAGGAACAGTGTCCGATGATCGACGATTATCATACTTTCCCCACAATTGTCATTCAACATCCTTTCGTTTTATCGCTCGCCCTACTCGTGCCCAGTGACACCACGTGTGACGTGA